GAACACGCTCAGTCGTTCGGGACCCTCAATAACTGAATCCTGGGTACTTATTTTCTGACTGGGGGGGGGGGGGGGGGGGGGGGGGGGGGGGGGAGGGGCTACGCTCTTGTGGGCGGGTGTATCCTGATAACCTGCTCGGGGCACATTCGAAAGTTCGGGGGCCCTCTACATTGGGTCTTGGGCACGTGCTACCTGAATGGGGCCCCACGCACTTGTCGGACCCCCTCTGTTCGCCTTCTCGGCCACACTGGATTGCTCGGAGGGTCCCTGCACATTGGTTCTTGGTGTTTGCATTTAAGGCCCTCTGCTTCTATCGGGGTCATTTCATAACCTGTTCGGGTACACTCCATCTCTCGGGGTATCCCGCACCGGGTTTTGAGGACTTCGTATTTTAATGGAGGGCCTTATGCTCCTGTCGGGGCCCCTTCTGATAAGGTGTTTGGGTCCGTTCGATCGTAGGAGACCCGTGCATCTGGTTTTGGGTACTTCCTTTTTTAATTGAGTGTCCTCCCCTCTTTTCGGGGCCCTGTCTGTTAACCTGCTCTGGCGCACTCGATTATTTGGGGCCTTCTACATCGTGTAGTGGGTACTTCATATTTGAACAGAAGGCCCTGCGCTCTTGCCGGGACCCCATCTATTAACCTGCTCGGACACACTCGAAATCTGGGGGCCCTCCACATTGGTCTCTTGGGTACTTCCTATCTGAACGAAGGGCCCCACGCACTTATCGGGAAACCCATCTGTTTGCCGTTTCGACCATTACTGGATTGTTCGGGGAGCCCTATGTATTGGGTCTTGGCGTTTTAATTTAGGTCCTTACACTCCTGTCTGGGCCACCTAATAATCTGCTCGAGTATACTTCATCTTTTGGGGGCCTTCCGCACTGGGTTTTAGGTACTTCTTACTTGAATGGAGGGCCCTACGCTCTTGTTGGGGGCCCTATTTGTTAACCTGCTCGGGCACACTCGATCATTCGCGGGCCCTCTACATTGGGTCTTGGGTACTTCCTATTGAATGGAGGGTCCCTATGCTCTTGACGGAGCCCTGTGTTAATCTGTTCTGACACACTGGATGATTCGGGGGTTCCTCTGCATTGGGTCTTGAATACTTCCTATTTGAATGGAGGGCCCTACACTCTTGACGGGGGCCCTATATGTTAACCTGCTCGGGCGCGCTCGATCGCTTAGAGCCCTACACATTGCGTCGTGAGTATTTTTTATAAGAATTGATGGCCCTATGTTCTTAGCGGGCCCCATCTATTCAGCTGCCCGGACCGGTGGCGGATGCGGAGGGTCGTGAGGGGGAGGCACAAGATCATGCCCCATGGACTACGTCGGGGGGACCTAAAGGCTCCGAAAGGGCGCGTAACCGGCCAGACGGACGCAGTTTTCTTACAACAAAAACACAACAAAACTGGGCGCCTTTGGGCCTACAGACAACCAAGAACCATTGCCAGCAAAAGTAAAGGGGTCATAAGCAAACGAAGTTCTTTCTTTGCTTATTGAGAAAGTGTTGCTTGAGGGAGATTTTGGGGCTCACTACGCTGTCTAGAGGCATTACGATGTTGGTTGCTTGGTTTTGTACGTCCACTTGCCGGGTCAGTCTGATCGCTAAGGAGCTTTCCGCGTTGCCCTTGATCTCCTTGTTTTTTCTCGTAGGGCCCAATGTGCTGTTGGATGCTATCTGCCTCCATGCCTGAAAACTGTCAATCGGTCAGGTTTTCCTCCACGGATTCGTCCCACTCGCCCGAAAGGCTCAACGCACTTTTTCCGAGGCCCCATATGTCGGCACACTCAAGCTTGCTCAGGGGCTCTCCATGTAAGTATCGGGTCCTTTCCACTTGCTTGGAGGGCCTTGTGCTGGGGCTGGGGCTCTTCTATAGGATAAGGCACGGGAGACACTCGATGCTCAGGGCCCTCTACTTTGATCGAGGGCTCCCCCCTCCCCCTTTGGTCTCATTTGCGGAGGACTCTTTCACTCATATCGAGGCTCGTGTTGCTAACCTGCCCGTGCACTCAGATCGCACAGGGGTTATTAATTCACGGTATTTGATAATCCCCCTTTGCTCGGAGGGTCCTGTGCTATGGTCGGGGGCCTTACATGTCAGCCTGCCGAGGCACTACCGTTCGTTAGGGGCCCACCACATTGGTCTTGTGCTCTTTTTTGCTTGCTCTGAGGACCCTATGCCTGTTGACGGGAGCCACTTTGTTGGCCTCCTGCAGCACCCATGATCGCAAAAGTTATGTTGCTATTGATCTTGGTGCCTTCGCCTTAGAGCATCAGTCGAATATATGCCGATGAATTTTTACGCGCAATTGCCGAACGTAATTTGACATGCCGCCGACGTCGTCTGTCATTTTCATGGGCTATTGAGCGTGTAGCACTTATTATACTAGAGCATCACGTTCTTTACATGTTCTGGAATACTACAATACATCGTACCTGTTTAAAGCAAAGGAAAAATTCTGCATTAGCCATCAGCTATCAGCTGATTACATCGCTCAGTCGTTTAGTCGTAAATACACAAGCTCAGAATTAGCCCATACTTGGTTTTCATGGTTGTTATCAGTCAGCTCAAGTTATTTTACCTGTTACTCCGAAACACTTAACCTAAAATCACAGCATTTAACATGATCTGTAGCAAATGAGTGAGCTCTATTTGTATGCATGCGTAGAACGCCTAGCTTTATGTGGCTGTGCATAGTAAGGTGGGTTTCCGTATTTATTAAATAAACGAATAAGTAAATTGCATATGTATACATACATATATATTATATATATATATTATATATATAATATATATATATTACATGCTCGTTTTAAGATGCAATGACCGAAATTCAAGGACATCTTTTTGGAGGGGGCTCCAAACTCCAGGGGGTCCTACATTGTTGCGTGCTCCCGCCTTGACGGCATCCTGGATCCGCCCCCGGCTTAATCTGGTGCGACAACGGAGTATTAAACGGAGCGATACATCTCTGAGATACTTTTTTAGGTAACACAGCAAATGAATGAGCAGATTCATTGCCCTAGGGTCAGGTATGACGGGACCCACCAAGGTGAAAACCAACCTGTCTTATTACCGTTGGGTCTGCTCTATCAGGTAGTTTTTGGTGCTTATTTCGAATTTATTAAAAACAGGACCCACATTTTACATCTTCCATGAACTTTTTTAAAGTTCGGAATAGGTCAATGACGTAAAATGAGCCAGGCAAAGGTTTTTTTGTTACGAACATACTGCCTAGCGTAATAATTGTCACTCATTCAAATGCAAAACTCACAGTACTATCATATAATTCAGTCACTATGACCTTCGAAAGGTCAGACAAGCTCGCATACATTAAATAGGTGATGTGATATTTTGCTAGACAAGGTATCTAGTGTCGGGGGGGCGCTGGAGACCCAATCTGGAGTTTGATCTTGTTTGTTGCCATTTGACCCCGAAGGTTAGCAACCTAGAAACTTTTGACCCTAAGTGAGGTCACATGCAGGCCAATACACCCTGTGAATTGGTCTTTAGCTCTCTCTAGTTCCATGAGCATATCATGGGAAGAACGTGTGGACAGATGTACCCCTCACCCGAGCGAAGGCTACCAAACGGGCGACCCGGGGCGCGTATTAATTCAGATAACAGATTTGGGCATTTTTGAAATGTAATTGTTTGCTATGCTAGATATGCATCCTACAGCTGTTTTCCACGCTCACGCCACCATCCTTGTGTAATTGAAAACTTATCTATGTCATTCGGCAAAATAGGCTAATCCTGCCTTCTCACGATTAGTCATCCATTTCAAGGTTTTTTCCCTGACAGGCGAAATTCTACCAGCGGGGAGGCATTTTGAATCATTGAGTGAGACGGCCCACAGAGTAGATGCCTAAATACGACCTAAATATAGGCTGGTCACAATTTTAAAATGCATTGTTATTAGGGTTTAAACGACGCATCCAAGCTGCTGGGGCTATATGGTGCTGCCTGCCCTCTCACCCTGGCAGGAAGGGCGAGCACCGCGGGGAATCGAACCCCGTTCTTCTGGTTTCCAGACGCGCAGTGATCAAAGCAAACGCGTTAACCACTACACTGTCAGCACCCTTTATGAAATCCTTAGCCCGATAGGCCCGATAGAATCCGTCCAAAACGATTTTTAAATGTTGCTGGTAAGGAACTTCCCACAACTTCGTTCGGCGGTCCGTTCCGATGATTCACTTCCTCTCCAACGAAATGACATCTGCCTCTTCATAGTTCTACTTCTGCCTTTTGCTAATTGAAGCTCGTTTCCTCTAGGTCTCGTCCTAATTTCCAGTGGCTCCTTGTAAATCTACCTTGTCTATCCTTTCCATAATCCTGATACCTTTATTAGATCCTCTCTATTAGCTTACGATATCAGTGAGCACAATCCGAGATCTTGAGCCCATCATTATATTTTAAGGTCGCCAAACCCACTTCACATTCTAGGTCGCTTTTCGCTGCACTCCCCCCAGCCTATGTTTATATTTTTGGAAGTATGGGACCAAGCCTATGCACAATACTCTAGGTGAAGTCTGACGCAGCTAACCACAACTTGTTTGACACCATTTCTACTCTTGTAATGAACATTCCCGCTAATAACTCCCAACATCTCAAGTGCCTTGCTCCTAGCAGCCCCACATTGCTTCTCAGCCTTCATTCTCTGGAAATTGTAAACCCTTTGGTCTTCTTCGTCTCCGATCTGGTTTCAACTCTCGGCCTCCCATTTTATAGCTAATGCCATCACTGCCTGAACTACCCATATACATCACCCTACACTTATCATAATTAAATGACATTGGCCACACAGAAGCCCAGTTCGCTGGTTGCTCTCAGTCAAGTTTCACCTGGTCTGCATTTTTCGACACCCCTACCAATCTAATGTCGTCAGTAAATTTAAGCACCTTACTCCCCAATCCTATCCCCACATCATTCAACAAATCGTAAAGAGCAAGGGACTCAACACCGACCCCTGTAGAACCCCACTCATTCTCTACTAGCTCCCACTGAGATTTAGTACCAATGAACTCAGCGAGCACAAGTCGCTGAAGCCCAGTGGGAACGGGCTTTGAGGTCGTCGAGTCCGGCGACCGCGTTGGTGCTGACGGCACCGTGCAGTTTGCGTTTGTTTGTAGTCGCACTGGCCGGTGACGACGTTGAAGTACAGCTCTCCCGGACAGGCGAGCTTGTACGGCACGCCGTGGGAGCACATGTAGAAGTCGGTGCAACTCTCGTTGGTGGCGATGAAGACACGCGCACTGTCGGGGTGTCCGGCGGCATTCGGACACGGGCACTCGCAGCGGAGAGGGAGGTCCCGAGGCCGTCGACAAGATCAGTGCCACTTGCAGACCGACTCTGCACATGGTCATGAAACAGGTAAGGAGTTGATGCCTTGTGCTGAGGGACTTACGGAATGGGTCGGGAATGCAGCTCTGACAGAATGTGACATAATTACCACTCATATGCACCAGTGCGGCATGTAGACTGCCTTAATTGACACGCTTTGCCAAAAGTTGCAAGATAATTGCATTAGACATGAAAATAATACTCAACTTCTTGACGAGTTAAATATCTTTCGTGTTCCTACGATCATGACTAACGATGCAATGCAAAATTCGACGACGTGTTGGCTTAGACCTGACCCTATGGTTTGGGAAGCATGACGATACTATTCGTGTTCATGGTCGTATCGACTGCGCAACCATTTTGGGCCTTACGCTCACGGAAGGCAAATACCATGCCTGGTCACCATATGTTCGTACACTGCATTAGGTGAACGCGAAAAAAGTTGCAAACTTCCTAACGCTTGTGATTTGTTTGTGTCACGAAACATGTCAATGCATGCTTTGACAAGTTTCAAGGCATGCAAGGCATGCCTTGGAAACAGACCTTCGTGGCGCGCTTCAGGAAGAAATTGGATTAAAAAGCATATGTATCTTAAACCTATTACCTATTTATCATGCGCTTTACATTCTCTACGACTCATAGCACAAAGCAGCAGACATGTCTCGTACAAGGTCGGAAATAAGTACCCTATCATAGGATAGTAAAACACGACTGAAGGAGGGGAAAACAATTTTCAGAAGGTCGAAATGGTGAGTAGCTTTCAGCCATGCGCAAATGCCATGTTTCTAGCGATGTGTATCTGCTGAATGGCTCATACCGAAGATCGTTAGCTACCACGTATTTTAGAACATAATCTAACCACAATGGTTGGCTATCATCGCACCATTCCTATGCAGCCAGTCCGCACAGTAATCAACAAATAAATCAACGATATTCGATCGGATCCCGTTACAGAACGACTTCACTTACCGTTTCACTGCGGTCAGATCCATCACGCTCGCCGACCCGTTTTGAAGCTTTGATGGGTTGGGATCACACTGCAGCCTTCACTCAGCTCGGAAGGATCTGTTTGTAGCAACTGATGCCGAGATCACTCACACCAGACCCACATATACCTGGCGTGTGTTATCTCCCGCTCTTACGTCGACATGAGCTCGCCCGGTTGTTTGCATCCCGCTGCTTGTAGACCGATGGTTGATGACGTGTTTTCCCGGTAGCTGATTGTGTCCTGCCATCGGATAGACCAGAACACTTAATCGGAGGAAACTGTGGAAGATTCCCAGTATCAAGTCACCGTCGGGATTGGGGAAGCATTCTCGGAAACGGACCGAGGCAGGATTTCAGTGGACGTGGACTGCAGGACTATTGTGTCATTTGACTTGTGTCGCAATACCAAGCGGCGAGCACAATCTGATTTATGTCGCAATGCCAAGTAGCGAAACATATTAAAGCAAACAAGTGGGACAATAGTTAAACTACAGAGGTGCAAGCAACAGAGCATTACCGGTTACATTTTCTTGGCATATCGCCTTCGTCTAAAATCTAAGTCAACCCTTCGTTTGTCTTAGAGAAAGGAGGCACTCACACACACGGAATTTTTTCAGGAGCAGCCAATGAAGAAGAAGGCACTTCCTGCCAGAGGTGGAGCAAACTTCTACGGTTCCGAGTATTTCGTGAGATAAGAGAAAAAGAAAATCCTCAGGCAAAATACACATGCAAACATTGCTTTGAAACTATGCTTCCCTGTTGGCAAAAATCGGGGGCAGTTTTTTGTCAACGGAGATAACCGACGTAGGGGAGCGAGACGATAAACCAACCAGCTCGTCTAAAGATCTAGGCTTTGATGGACCGAATCAAGGTCAAAGAATGGATATTTTGGCAACATCCCTCTATCGAAAACAGTAGCAGAAGTCCTCGACTACTGCTATTTTTTCGATAAAGGCAAGTTGACGAAATATCAACCGAACTAAATGTCTTCATTCTCCCAGTTTTTCTCCCAGGAATAAAGGCTAAGAGTGCTGTCTTATCTATGTAATTCTCCAGATTGGCGAAACTGGCCTGTGAAAACAGGTGAAACTGCCTGTGAAACAGGTGAAACTGGCCTGTGAAACCAGGTTGAAACTGGCAATAGAGCCGCGCGCGGAGCCCCGCAGGCTGTCAAATGTTGCAGCTAGCATGTCGTGTTTGCCCAGATTGATTTTAGTTCATTTAAGTAGCTTAAGAAATTCTTATAGATGTTTCGCGAAATGCCGCACTTCGCATATTTAGTCAATAAGTTGTACCTTAATGTTCAATCCATGTCGATGCCTCTCCACCTCAACAAAGGTGGTCCTCGTCAGCGTGTTTATAAACGATGGTCGCTGTCACTTACCCGACTGCGCCACGGTTGTGTAGGGCTGACTTAAACCAACTGCTGGAATCGTTCACGTCCCCGGGGAGCAGCCCGACAGACGTACTGCCGAAGACCTATGCCCAAAAGACCTACTCCAAGAATCACATGCCCGAAGACCTACTGCCATCGGTAGAAAACACCCATTCACGATGCTCGTTTTTCGAGTACGAATATCCAAGCAGCAATGTGCAACGGCACAGCGAGAATGCTTGTTAGTACTTAATAAGATTGCTCGATTGTTTCTAAAGTTCGAGGCGACTATTTCGTATTATTTGCCGCGACTATTTCGGTACATTACGACATTGTTTATGTATTTAGCACAAGATTCAAGCACCAGGCTTTTCCGCGTGATCTTTCGTGTCGTGATTTGGAAATCCGGGGGTCCGCATTCACCCTCCCCCTCTCCATCGCCCATTCAGTCCACACTATGAAAACGGCGAGTCAGGACGAGGGTTATAAACGCTTCACAGCCCGATGTCAGCTTCTCTCAGCACTGTGTTAGGACACGCGGCCGCTCCAGCGCCTAAACGTAGCCCACTGTAGTGCTGGACACGGGAGAAGAGACCCGTGCTGTGGGTAGGCGCACTTTCGGCGCTGAAGCCTGTCGCGTGTCTGGCACTAGAGAGGCTGCATGTCCGGCGCGGGGGGAGGGGAGGGCGGCGTGTCCAGCACTGGAGTGGGCGCGCGTTTGGCACTAGTGTAGGCTTACGTTTGTCACTGAAACGGCTGCGTGTCCGAAACAGGGCTGGGAAGAATTGGCGTCGAGCTGCGGAGCGTTTAACCCTCGCTCTAATTCGCTGTTTTTTCACAGTGCGGACTGAGTAGAGAGAGGGGGGGGGGGTCAATGTGACCCATGGGAATCTCTAGACTAAGAAAGAAAGGCCCATGCGGAAAGACAGTGCATAGGCCTAAAGAACATTTAGCGGTTGGCGATAAGTTGCATGGTATGAGGCCAATAATCGACTTCAGCAGACCACGTGAAACTTGAAAATTTCTTGAAAATCTAAATTTCAATTAATATCCTTTAATGTGCGAGATCATGTACTGTAGCAGCACGAAATGCTACAGCCGTGTTTCTACACATATCTATGATGTGGGCATCCATCAACACGCGCTCGGGTAGGCGTGGGCTAAATCGACCCGCGCAGAAGTTAATTCCAAAATGGCTTCCGAACGGCACAGCGTAGCCGCGCCAAATTTTCCATGCCTACAGGAGCAGATCTTTTGATACAAAAACGCTAGATGTTCTTTTCAAAGTTGCTGAGCTATAGCAGGTCAAAGCCAGGCCATGGCTGTCAGCAAAAGGCATTTCTAGGGAATCGTTAGATGCGAAGCAACAACGGAGTGCTAGACGAAACCACGCGTGACTGAAACACTCTTAGGGAAAAAACAATTGAATTTAGAATTGCAGCCCATGTCATTGACCTAGAGCCAAGTATAAAGGTCAAAAGAAGGTCAAAATTAACCTGCTTTTTTACTCGGTAGCTTTATTTTATGGAGTAGTCTGATGCTGATTTCGATTTTATTAAAGGCAGAGACCGCTAGAGACATGTTTCATATACTTTTTACAGTCCTGGTAGGTCACTGACTTAAAATGACCCATGCCAAAATTTTGCTTTTCGGAACATACCACCTAGTATGATTTCTGACCCTTATTCGAAAGGCAAAATAGGAGCGATCTCGTAGGCATTCGGTCACATAAGCGTAGAAACGTTTCAAAAAGTTGGGGAGGGGCAAGCTCAGGGTGTACTTAAGCAAGTTTTTCTGGAAAGCGAGCCCAGTGACCGGGGGGGGGGGGAATGGGATTGTATCGCTCTTTATTTGAATGTCATGGCTGCTATGCTAGATATGCATCTAGAGCTGTTTCTCACTGGTGCACAATCTTGCCTATTCGGCTCATCTGTCATTTGGCAAATAAGGCTATCCGGCTTCCCAAGACTATTCGTCCATTTTGACATTGTCTTTCCTGCAGAGCCGAAATTCCACGAGCGGGTAGGCATTTTGGGTCATTGGGGAAGCATCTGTCTCCAGAGTGTAGATGCCAAAATACGGCCTGGATATAGGCTGACGAGAATTTTGAAAGTGGATCGGTGACTCCCAGTACGACAGATTTTTCATGCGCCTTCATTTCGCTGGCTGATTTTCAAGAGCAGACCTGTAGCAGCATTTTAGTCGGAAACAAATTCAGGATCGTGAAACTTCCAAAAAACATGTGACAAAATCCATAAGACCGGAGATTCTCTTTTAAGAACCAAGCCAAGCCACCAAGAACCCATCTGTCATATGTTCCTTATCGGGTCCCTGCTCCTGTCCGCCGTCGGTGGCCACTGCCCTGGTCCGGATGTCTCCCGCATGACTAACTGTGAACTGACCATATGGCTGCTTTGTTGCATACTTTTGGATCAGCTTTACTACTACATGGTGTACGAAACATGTGTTGGACACCTGCAGCAGCATCTTTTTCCGAATTATCTTCCCTTACACTACACCGTCGCAGAAAAATAGCCTCCGGAAGCTGCTGCCTTAGGTATGATTGGCCTAATGGACACTTCGTCGCTATCATGCAACGCATACGACTTGATCTGCTTTTGTGTGTAGGCGGGGGCGTAGCCAGGGTCTTGCCAAAGGGGAACACAAGGATGACAAAAACCCATTTATGGTGATT